GGGGGGGGCGCCCCATCCCCCACCAATCAATCAATCAATCAATCAATCAATCAATCAATCAATCAATCAATCAATCAATCAATCAATCAAAAAAACAAGAAAAAAGAATCTCTGTGTTTTGAGTCCGCAAATGTTTTTTATTTTTTTAAAATAATTTAGATGCTAAAAAATAAAATAAAAAAAATGGGGATGTAGAGAGTAAAAAAATCTACACCCCGATATTTGTTTTGTTTTTTTGACCGTTTGTTTGCCGCCGAAAAAAAAATTCGCGGGCCGAGTTGTACCCCGGTCTAACGGGGTACAACGGGGAGTTGCAACGCGGGTTCAACGGGAGTTTATCCGTTCAACTCAAAACCCCCGTTGAATCAACTTTCGGACACATAGACCACATTTCAGGTTCTCTTGTAAAGATATTCCGGAAATAAGACGACAATTGGCATCATGTGTCTTGGAACGCCGTTGTCTTTGATGGATTCGATTCATTTACAAACTTTGATTTGAAAATATTTCATTACTTACTGATTATATTTCGTTAATCCTGACATTGTTTACAGTCGTTTTCACATCGACATTGCTTTTTTTTATCGTTGCGAGTTTGAGTTATCTTTGGAATGTTCACTGCCAGTCTCGCATCACGTGTTGAATTTGGAATCTGAGTCAGGTCCCACTCGTCTCTCGTGCTATTAAATTCGTCGCATTGCATTTCTTGTTCCAAATTGTGTCTTTAATGATATTGGTGTGTATAGTGCAACATGACAAATTGGTGTGTGGATGGAAGACAAATCTCGGCCAGTGTGTGAGTGTGAGGTTCATCATGCGAAGAGTCAAAGGCCAATGACATCACGTCTCTTGTGTGCCCATAGAATCACATATTTCTGGCCGTCTGAATTACATGTAACCGGAAAATTTGAGTTTGTGCCCAAACCTTTTGTTAATGGTCAATGAAAGTGCGGATTTGATCACATAGGAAGCAACATCTGAAGTTCTTTTGTAATATGACAGGTGTTGTTGCAGAAAAACAACTTGTATGTCAAAATTAAATTAAATCGCTTGTACTTCGATTGCTACTGTAACTTTTACATTACTTAAAGTTTCCAATGACACATTGCTTAAAGCAAACATGTCAAATAAGGATACAATCATGACACCTTGCTCATCGCAATTGTAAACAAGTATGGATCTCAGCACACTTCCGCATATTGGGCGAGATGATGGGCGTGTTCATCCTTAAATTAAGTATTCTAAAGAAGTTCGGACCTCAACAACATTCAAGCAACCGTCTCGAGTGAGATGATTGGCATGCCTGCACAAATTCAAGTTAGGGATAAATTAAACCTGAACAGATGTATTATCCAACAAAGATTCAATTATGACACATTGTTCATCACATTTATAAACACTTTTTTGAACAAGTATGGATATCAACACACTTCCATAACAGGCTTTCCGGATGGGCGTGCCTATCGCTGCCTCACGTCCTCTAAAGGAGACTTACCCCGGATCTCGTCGCACATTCAAAGAACCGTCTAAGGCAAGAGGATGGACATGCTTGTACAACTTTGCGCTAATCTAGAGAATTATATTATCCAGCCAGGATGCAATCACGACGCCTTGCTCATCACATTTATGAACTTGAAGTTTAACAAGTAAGGATCCCAACACACTTCCGCACAGGGTTCCCGAATGGGCGAACTTGCCTATCGTTATTTGTGTATGAACTTTAACAAGTATAGATCTCAGCACGCTTCACCATTTGGAATCTGATTTATATAATTTAACAAGTATGGATTTCAACACACTTTCGCATGTGGTCAAACCCTGGATGGGCGTGCCTACGTTGCTTAGGTTGCAGCCAAAAATGAATTCGTTAGAAATAGGATACAATATAATATCTTATTTTAATGAATAACATTTTTGATTAGTTTCGTCAAAATTTGTTCTAATCGGTCCATCAGAGAAGTTTGCATTTATATCAGGTTGTTCATCCACTCGGATTGTCTGGTCGTGGCGGTATGAATCATCTGAGCCAAATGTAGATTGGTGATGGGTACAGGTGCAACAGTCTGAGGAATGATATTATCATAGTATTTATAGGTACCATCTTTGGAGGAGGAGGGAGAGGATCAGAAGAGAGGAGGTGAGGGGATCGGTCCGGGGAGGGTCCATCCCGATAATCGTGATCGGGGCGAGGGTAAAATCGCCCCACCGCTCTGAGCCACGAGCGCCTTTTGGCAGCCACATCCTATATCGTGTCCGAGATGTCTTCATCCCCCTAACTAATGTATTTGTGTGTATCCAGTAAATCCAGTTCGAGTGCTTTAGCAATAATGGCGGGTAGCTAGTTTGTCTTTGGAGGAACTTTTCTCTGCAGTTTCGCTTTTAGCACTGGGTTGCTGAGATCATCGATGAATATGTCTCAAGCAGCGTTTTCTTCCCATCCTGATTTATCTAGCGTGGTTTGAAACCGATCCACAAAGTTGGGTAGCAGCTCTCTAGGTTCCTGGGGACGGGTTTTTAACACAAACCAGGGAGCATCCACACTGACTTCGTCAAATCTTGTAAGGAACACTCTCTTGAAGGTATCCCAATCTACCCACCTTCGCCTTCTAAACCAATCATGAGCGGTGTTCCTGAGGAGTAGAGTGATGACGCGAGGAAGATCCTCAGCGACATATCCCTGAGCTTGTACGGCTTCGAGCCATGCCTCAGGATGAGTATGATTGGGGTAAAACGGGAAAGTGGCGGGGATGCTCACCATCACCCGAGGAGCCGTTCCATTGGTGTCAGTCATGGGCATCTCTGGTCGAATCTCCGCGGACCTTTGTCGAGTGATGGGAGGACACAGCCGATTAGATTGGTTGGTTGATCTTCCTCTAGCCAAATCGTCTTA